GTATTTCATATTCCTACACAAAGTGCACAGGGTTGCAGTTCCTCCACAACCTTAGCAACTCTTATTTTTTTAATATAACAACCATTGTAACAGGAATGAGTTACCTATCACTGGAATTTTGATTTGAACTTTTCTTTTTATTTGAATTTTTCTGATTGTTAAGAAATGTTGCACATCAGTAAAATATTAGTCAATTTCACTTTGATTATAATCCCACTTGTCTATGTTTGCTTTCATTCCTTATACTTGTAGTTTCAGGTATAAGAAATCTTGCTTAAACCAACGTCATCAAAACTTTCCCCAGTGTGTTCATCCAGCAGCTTCCTACTTTCAGACCTCGTGTTAAAATTTTAGTCTATTCTTCTCTTCCCACATTCACTGCAACATTAAGCACAAGAAGCACATTATGGAAGCAACCTTAATCCCCATTGATGGGTAATCAGAATTTATGGGATGCAATGAAAGCAGTTCTTAGAGGAAATTTACAGCTGTGAACTCACACATTAGGAAAACAGAGTGGGAACAAATAAATACCCTAATCTGCACCTCAAATGTCTAGAAAAAGAAGAGCAAACCCACTGATGGGTAAATAGGAAAAGAAAATGTGGTAATTGAAAGTAATAATTTGAATATAATTTTATTAAGCCTTAAAAAGTGAAGACAATCTTGTCATTTTGGGATAACATCTTCAAGCCTGGAGGATATTATGCTAAGTGAAATTGGACAATCACAGAAGGACAAATACTACATGACTTCACTTAAAGGTAAGGTATCTACACCAGCCAAATGGAGAGAAACTGAGAATAGAATGGTAGTTCCTAGAGAGGAAGGGAAGCAATGAATTGCTGGCAGGAGCAGCTAGAAAGTTCTAAAGATCTGCACTAAAGCAGTCTCTCTATAATTGACACTTCTCTATATCGACACTTACATTGTATACTTCAAAAGTTGTTAAGTAGATAGAGCTCATATTGAATGCTCTGACCATAATTTAAAAACTATGACATATATCCCAAAGGATACTCAGACAAAATGCCATACATTATGTGCATTTATTAGGGGGAGGAAAGGAAAGTAAATACCACAAAAAGGTTAAACTGCTTCTTCCAGAAAAAGGAAGGTCTAAGCATTGTCAAAGTAGCTAGGTTGCTCCACAGCTCAGTGTATAGGAGAACGTCTACCTGGGTTGGCGCCAGGGTATCTCAGCTGTATTAACCCAGTGTAATTATTAAGAGATCTCTTTTAATCCACTAAATATCCCAGACCCCACAGCTCTAGGGAAATCATCAATACCTAAAAAGGCACAAGTGAAACACTCCTGTTCTTTTATAGGAACCATGAGAAATGAAAAGCTCTGTACCCCTGTGCTGTCACAAAGACAAATGTCATCTCTACTAGTAATGCCATCACTCAGATGCTGAAAGTAGGAGGTTCCAGGGTAAGATGAGGAGGTTGGTCCATGCCAGTGGGGCCCTGGAAATGGTTAAGAGCGTTTTAGAAAAAAATATTGCCACATCTTTCTCCAAAGCTTGGGGGCAAGAGAAAATATGATGAAAAGGTTTTTTAAAAATCACAATAAGACTATACAGATTATTTGAGGGATCATCATATTGCAAAGAATAAAGTTTCAATTGATTTTTTGTAAGAAAAAGCTATATTTAAAAAAGGAATGGACAAGCTTTCAAAATAAATATGCTCTTTTGTCAGAGATGGGTATTCCATTAAATACATATTATATATATAATTAGCATAGATATGCAGCTACATTCCCTTAGTTCAATGAGTTTTGAAATAATAGTGCTTAGACAAGATATCATGTCTGCATTTGTACTATGAATAACTACTACAAAGACAACAATATGCAATGCATTAATGATTGTGACTGTCCTACTAAACTGTTGTGAAACTGTCTCATTGCTACTTTTTTCTTAATAAAATTAATATATAAAAAAAGAAATATTTCTCTAAAATTCACTCTGTCTACATCTTATATCTTTCACATTTCAATCTTTGTCTATAATTTTTAATATGCTATATAATTATTGATTTTCAATAAAGTTAATGAGAAAAAATACCCAAAAAATAAATAAATGAATACTCTTGATGAGTGAGGGCCGTGCTGCTGCCAGAGGGCTGGGAACTCAGCAGTTCCAGCCTGTTGCTGTCCTGCCCCACGGACTGGCCAGGAGAGTTGATAAATGGGAAAATATAACTTTTATTTAAACTAAAAGAGAAAAGGGGAAAGTGAAGAAAAAGAGAAGTATGAGAAGAGATACATCCTGCATTGCTTGGGCCACTGTAGATGCAGGAAGACAGTGGCGACCCTGAAGTCTATTACTGCTGTCTTTTCTATCTTTGCAGATCCAGTCCATCTGAAGTTGTTCGGCCTTTGTTGACAGCATCCCATGATTGAAAGGGGCATTCTGTACTTCAGCCTCCATTCCAGTTCTTTGTAACTGACAGGGTACATCCTGCTTTCCATCCAGTCTACGACGTCCTAAGCTCCAGCCTCAGAATCAGCTTTAGGCTTGTAAGATCATATGAAAAATCCACAGGAGAAGGGTTCCTTCTTCCCCGCCAGCATTTGTTATTGCCTGACATCTTGATGGTAGTCAGTCTTTCTGGGAAGTGCATGTTGGTACAACCATTATAGAAATCGGTGTGGAGATTCCTTGACAAGCCAGGATTGGAGATGCCATTCAAGCTAGCTATTCCACTCCTGGGTATTTTTCCAGAAGAACTGAAAACATCATACCACAATGATATATGTGCACCCATGTTTATAGCAGAGCAATTTGTCATAGATAAATCCTGGAAACAACCAAAATGCCCATTAACTGAGGAAAGGATAAAAAAAAGATGTGGTATTTTTACACAATGGAGTATTATTCAGCTATAAAACAGGGCAAATTTGAGACTTCTGTCAGTAAATGGATGCAAGTAGAGAACACACTCTTCAGTAAAATAAATCAGACCCATATGTGCAAACCTCATGTTGTCTCCTTAGGGTTTGTTTTTTGTTTTGTTTTGTTTTTTGTTTGTTTGTGTTTATTTTGTTTTGTTTTTGCAGAACTAGGGATTGAACTCAGGCCCTTGCGCTTGCCAGGGGAGCGCTTATTACACTGAGCCATCTACCCGGCCTCTATGTTGTCTCCTTAGTGTGAGAACCTAAAAGAGAACATGGAAGTGAAGGATACAATAGATACTGAGAAAAGGGAATGAACTTATTCAAAAGGAAAGAGTTACTGAGTTGAGGAGAAGGACAGGAGAGGGAGTCGGGGAATGAGATTTATCTATGTCTGTAAGCAGGATGGTTTGGACAACTGGACTGTGGAATTCTGCTTGTCTATGGAGAGGAGCAGATAATAATTTGTTTTGTCTCCTTTTCTCAATTATTTGTCATTTTTCTTCTTCATTTCTTGTATTGTTCTTCTTTTCTTTCTTCTTTCAACTTTGCATGCACATATCTGGTGATATGAATAACTGGTTGGAAGACAACACTATATATTACGACAAATACTGTGAAGTTCATATTACTTTGTTAAGTGAAAGTCTGTATTGCTTGTAAGCTTTCTGTTTGAGTACTATTTTGTATTCTCTTTAAAATCTAAAAAAAAAATTAAAAAGAAAAACAAAATTCCACAGGAGGTTTGCCAGAGTGAGACAGAGGAGTTTCCAAGAGGCTGTGTATCTCTGCTGTCCTGGGAAATACAAAGAATAGTGTAGATCCAAAGCCCTCTTTGTTCCACCCAGCCAAGTATTTGGGCTTGGGAGAACGAAGCTCAAAAAGATACAAACTCCAAGGATCTCCCTGGTTCCTCTGAAGGATGAAAGATGTCATGTGAGCCTTCTTTACAAACTGTAAAGCTCTTTATGAATGCAAGAAATCCATATGATGGTAATGATATTCTATTAAAGTCATTCCATTCACAACAGGGAAAGTGAAATGAAAAAAAATTATTCCACAAATTTATCTACTTCTGAGGTCTAATGGTAATGCTGTGGGTGAAGGCTTCATAAACATCAGCAGTTCTTCAACCAAACCACCATGAGAACATAGCCCAAGAAGAGCTCAGCCTTCTTTTCTGGTCCCTTTTGTGTTGTGGTTAGAACTTCTGTATTTGCTTCTTCTTGTCAGGATCCAAAAAGTCTTGATTCAACACACAGAGCAACATATCTGAAAATTCAGAGACCCAGACTTAAAAGAATCACCATCCCACTTCTTAAGTGGCATATTATTAGTAACTACATTAAGCAGAGGGGTTTTTTTTATTGTTTGTATGAGGATACAGCAGTTAGCTATGTGGTCATGCCAAGGACCCTGTTATGGTTTGTGTCTGGTTGTCCCCCTAATGCCTCATACAGTCATGGGGCAGACTTCTAGAGTATGTGATTAACTCATGATCCCCTGGGATCATGGGTGTGAGTGCTGCACCCAGCCTGGGGCAGATGGCCTAAATGCAAATAAAGGAGACAGACTTGCTCTCGGTAGCCATTATTGCTGCTAGTCCTCCCATTTGCTCTCTATGCTTTGTTGCTGCCATGAAAGGTTGCTCTCTGAAATATGCCACTCTGCCTTGGGGCCAGCCAAGTATAAACTGAAACCTCCATTAGCCATGAGCTAAATAAACCTTTCATTCCTTCATTTTTGGTGTCAGGTACTTGCCCCAGCAATGAGAAGAGAGTAACTGAGAGGTCCCTTAATTATCCATCACCATCTTTCATGTTAAGTCATTTCATAGATGTATTCAGAGGCAGCAAGATATTTTTAGGCAGAAAGCCCAACAACAAATTTCCCTTTCTTTTATAGCTTAAGATTCTTCTGCTTATTCCCCATTTAACCTGATTTCTAGTTCTGAAAATAGAACACAATTGTAGGAATTCTGCCTCCTCTTGCGGGTTGATGCCTTATGACAATGTCTATGTCCAAAGTACTTTGGAAGCTAGAATTGAAGTCAAAGCAATATTCTCTGCATGGGGAGAAACCTTCAACTCACCTGACTTTAGCTCAATGTAGTCAACACAAATTCAGTGACAAAGGTTTTCCCCACTTCCTGGGTCATAACAACTGGAGATTGTCCTGTGGAGTCAGCAGCAATGAACCAGCCAAGGAAGGCTGCTGACTCGAAGGTTGAGGTGCTGCCAACTTCATTGTGATAAAAGAGAAAGGGTTTCTCAGGCTCTGGGTAATGATAGAGATTCCTTATGGTCCTTTCCTGAAAGGTGAGAAGGAGAACTCAGGGAGAAATATAACTACGGGAACTGTTCCACATTCCTTGAACTTTGATATCTCATATCTAAGATTGTATTCCTCATTCCCTAGAGCAAGCATGGAGACTGCCATTTCATACCAGGGCATTAAGAATAATGTACCCCGAATACTGTTGCATGTGTTAGAAGTATGATAAAAACTCAAGCCACAAAATTTAGTGATCCTTAACATGAGGAAGAGGATACTGACATACAAGTTTTTGAAAAAAATGAAGTACTACTTTTGCCATTATGTATTCGCAGATAAATGGAGACACCCAAAGGACATTGAATTCTGAATGAAAAAATAATTATTTTATGTCAGGTTTCTCCAACCTCAGCACTCCTGATATTTTGAGCAAGATCATCCATTGCTGTCAAAGGCTTTGTCATGCATTACAAACTGTAAACAGCTGTTTAGCAGCATTCTTGATCCCTACCCTCTAGATGAAAGTAGCATACCTCATCCCTATGTGACAACCAAAAATAGATGTATTTCAGCAAATGTCCAGGCAGCACAATAAGCCCTCATTGAAAACCATTGTTTTACATCTTGCCATCATATTGAGTGTCTGCCTATGCTTATTTATTGAAAAAGTAAAAATGAACTCCTGTCCTATCCAGAGACCTAGTGTAATTGTCTTGCTGTAACATATAATATTTAAGGTTTGTTTAATAGTGGAAAAATCACAGCTATTAAAGTATTTATCATTGTTCACTTAAAATTGCAAACTGTTCTTTGTTAAGAAAATAATTTAATAAACTTATCCACTGCTCAGATTGTCCTTGTTGGCTTGGTTTTACCATGTGTATATGTGCATGAGTGTGTGTGTGTGTGTGTGTGTGTGTGTGTGTATGTGTTTTATTAAAATTAAGGATAAATATAAATGTTTTCCCCCTTACTGAATCATTTTTGTAAAATGAGACAGAAAATGATTTTAGGAAGCAAATTTCAAAATACTACCTACATCTTTTATTCTTTTACAATGCATGGAATCCAGAGAGATCAAAATATAAGACCATCAAAAGACTGTATTTTTCCAGAATCTAAAGTCACAATTTCCACAAAAATGGCACCTTATAAAACAAAGAGACTTGTCTCTCCCAGCCAAGCAAGAGAAGACCCTTTTTCTCTATACTCACATTGAGCTGCAGCACAGGCTGACCCCCGATCTTAGTGCACAACAAGCTACACTGAGGCTCCTGCAGTCCCAGGTACATGGGTTTCCCTCTGTCCTTCTCAAGAGTTTCCAGATGTGGGCAGGGATATAAACCAACAATGACTGGGAACATAGTGCAGAAAGTGGCCTTCAGATTATCTTCCAACATGGTATCTCTGAACCAGAGATTTAAGAGCAACAGAGGTTGTAAGCTGCTCTCTGATGCTTACAAAGTGGTCAGTCCACTATTCACCACACAGCCCTGAGGTTCAGGACATCTTTGATGAACACCTTCCACCAGAAACCTCAGCCTCTTGTGGATCCAAAAACCAATATTTCCACAGATCCCATTCTTTAGAAGTTTTACAGAGAAAGTCTTCCACCCTTTCCCACAGATAACTCTTCAGTATCCCCAGAGTCATCTCTCTTCTCTCTGGCTAATTCCAGTAGTCACAGGCAGCTCTCTGACCACCCTGTATTTATAATTGCCCACAATGCTTTTCTCTCTAGACAGGCCCAGGAAACACACCTATTGTGAAATGGAAGGCTCACCACAGGACATAACACAGCACTGCCCAAAGGTCCCTCACCTGGAACCGTATTTGCCTTCCTTGGGGCCATTATGAGGGTCTGGCCCTGAAGGACCCACACACGTTGATTGAGATCTGAAACATGCCTATAGAAAGGCAGTGCCATGGATAATTCTGTAAAGAAAGTCAAAATGAAAATATATAAAGACAGAGGTTCAGAATTCCCCATTCCCTCCCATCCTTTGCCCTTCCACGAGCGTCTTTACCTTTGGACATTGCGTTGGTGTTCTTTCAATGCTTCCAGCACTGAAGTCGTTTACGTGTTAACTGACCCCAGGAGAGGAGGAGCTAAGCCACAGTCTGAACCTGAGTCAGAGACCAGACATGCAGTGACCCCAATCAGAATCTGCACTGCCAAGTCCCACGCCGCTCTGAAAGTTCCCAAGAGGAGGATGGTGAGAGGATGGAAAAAAGGACGAGTCAGAATACAAAATCTGAGGCCATATGGAGGCCTTTCTCCTGAGGGAAAAAGAGGTAAGGATGGAAAAAGGAGGAGGCGGAAGGGCCCCCAAGGCTGCACAGCATTTATTTTCACACTCAAGGTGAATAGCTTATCCATGCTTGCCTCGGACACCCAGTGTTCTTGAGTCTAGAACTCTTATTCACGTGATTTCCCTCAGGTTCTCTGTGTTCCTCAGAATAAAACAGCTTAATCTTGACTTACCTCAAGTGCACCTTGTTCTCAGGATCGGCCTTGCTCTGACCCACAGGTGCAATCTATCTCCAGCTTCAGCCGCATCCTGTACTGCACTTCCGGTTTCTTGGACTCAGTCTGCCTCTCCACAGAAGCAGTTAAACTATGACTCCTGTTCAACCCAGAACCAGAGTCCTAAGAGTGCAGAGAGGCCTCAAGTCAGACGTGATCGGAGGTCACCAGACTCCTCCCTACAGGCTGTAGCCTGTTTACAGAGGACCCAAGTCCCTACTAGTAGAAGCTTTGCCTTCTGCTACACTCAGGTGTTCTGACAGGTTCTACCAATGTCCATGCCTTTTAAACCCACAGAGAAGGAAGGAAGTTCTGCCTCATTAAAGCCAAAGATGCCTAGCACCCTGGGTAATTCAAGTTCCTGCTTCTAGAAAATTCTCTGGTTATTTATAAGGATAAATGTCAATTACAGCAAGTTGTCATTGATACACCCTTTTAAAAAAGGGCATATTAAGCCTGCAAGAGCAATAACCAGGAAATACAGTTACAGGTACTGACTCAGAGAAATAAAAACTTAGGGGAGCATCCCAGAGCCGATGACTCTATTCCAGTGATGTAAAATGGCACACTGAGATGTCATGGCTAACAGCAGACGCCTTAGCAAGGTGGACTGGGAAGGGGGCCAGTCTTTCAGGACATATGTAGCTTCAAACTACTCCTTGTCCACAGTCACCATGTTCTCTGTGGATCTCATGGCAGGAGAAGGCTGACCACTGGAGACCCTTCTGAGTGTCTCAGAGCCACCAGAAATGCAGGATGACCATGAAAGATCAGCACACAGAGAAAGGCCAGCTCCTGAACACTGCTAACCTTGATGAGTAGAGTCTAGGTCACCACCTTTTTACACAAGAAGGGAGCCGGATGCCTGGGGTTCTGAGCTTTCAGTGCCTGACATTAGTGTTTCCATGAAGAGAAGTTAATGCAATGCTGTTGATACTCTTCCCTGCACTTTTGGGTACCTAAGTTCATGGTCTCTATGTAGGATACCAATATCTTCAGCTTCCCACCATAAGAGCTTGCATCATGTGGGGCCAGGGAGATAGCTCAGTAGAATAAGTACTTGCCTGGCAAGTGCAAGCCCTGAGTTCAATCCCTAGTACCGCAAAAAAAAAAAAAAGCTTGCATCCCAGGGACAAATTCTACCCAAGGATAAAGGGACTGTTGGAGACATTCTAGTAGATAAATATCCCAGCCTCCCTCTCTACTGGTGCCACAATACTAAAGCTTCTGACAGGGTCTGTGGTGGATCACAGCCCCAGCTGCTCATGAAGATAACTAGAATTCTCTTTATTGGTTTCCTTAGATCACCTTCTAAATGAACTCCTACATCCCAACTAAGACAGTAGCTGAGTGTTCAAAAGCAAAAGACTAGCACGCGAATGATATGTGTTCAGAATTATGCTTTGCAATATTCCCAAGTCTGCACATCATTGATGCTCAACGTGTTGTCTGTGAGTGATGTACTGGCATCCTCTAGCAGCTTGTCAGAAACATAGAATTTCAGACCCTGCCTCAGACTTAGAGAATCAAGATCTGAAACAAGCACTAAAATACTGTATGTTTCATATACATAGCACACACCCATGCTCAGTAATGTAGTCACACCAAAATGGAAAGAAAAAGACCAGGTCAGGGTGCGCCTGGGGCTTGGAAAATGTCAGCTCGTGAGAACTGCCCTCCTCCCTACCCCCGTGCCTTTTTCTGAACTCTGTGAACCACAGAAAGAACTGTCTCACCAGCTAAACAAACAAGAAGAAAAGATAACAAGCCTTTTCTGGAAATCTGTGGTCAGACAGACTCTCCCAAGCATTTTCACCTCAAAGTTCGCACACACAAAAAGGAAAAATAAAGCGTGGTAACAAAAGCAAGCCCATGCAGCATAACAGAGTGAGTAAATGGAAGATAAATGAGAAAAAAAAGCCATAGCACAGCTAAGACAGAAAAGCAAGAAAGCACGGAAGATAGAAAAGGCGTGGAGAATGAAGTAAGGAAGCCCAGAACATTGTTGGGCTATACAACGAAAAAGCAGGATAGGACAGAGTCATTATTTAAAGAGAAAATAGCTGGGAACATCCTCAATCTAATGAGGATACCAATTCAAATTCAAGAATCACCATAAATCCCAAGTAATACACATAAATAAAAAGACATGCACACTTAAGTTCATCAGAATGAAATTTCATAAAACCAGTGACAGTTATTGGACATTAAAAGTAGCAAGTACTAAAAAGAAAGCATTTACTTCAGAGGAGCAAGACTGGCTGGCAACCGACAATGGAAGCCAGAAGGCAGTAGAACTACATCTCAAGGTGCTGGGCTCTATACTCTGCAAAATTTATTTCTAGATTAAAGGTAAATCAAGTTGTTTTCAGACAGTAATTCAAAGTTCATCCTGAGTAGAGGCACACGTAATGGAATAATGCAGAATGTGATTAAAGCAGAGAATTCTTGGTAACAGAGAAGTGTACATTTTTAGAGAAACAGTTCTTTGTTACTGGCCCTTTTGCGGACAGAAAACTTGACTATGAGGCACCCAGAACTGTTTGTGATTACTTGATTCCTTCAAACCATCAACTCACAAAGTCAGACATTCCCCAAAGCAGTTTTCTGTGAAGTAAGAGTGATTCACCCATTCTGGAGCCTATGTAACCTCAGAGGGCAGGTGGAAGATGCATGAGAAGATAGCCCAGAATCCCATAACTCTTGTGACAGTGGCACCAGATTCCTTTCCTTGGCCTACAGCCATAGTTTATAGTCCCATACAGCCAGATGAATGAGAGGGAGAAAAAGTCCAAGATTGGTTTACAGTCACTTAAACAGTGGAATAGTGGAAGGCAAGCCAAAAAATTAGTAGCAGCTGCACCACAGCCACACATGGGCCAACTAGGGTACCTTGAGAGACAAAGAAAAGAAGAATCTTCTCAATAGACAGATTTATGAATATTGCCATTGGTGATTGATTCACTTTGTATGGAACTAAGAGTGGCATGAGAGTAGGACGTATACAGAATCCTGGACAGCGCACATCTTGGCTGACTGGTCAGAAGACTGAAAGAAAAGCAGATACAAACTAAAGACATATGAATGGATATGTGGGAGTGGGCACAGGTGGAAGGTTTGTATTGTGTGTTAATGACGACCAGAAAGTATGAACCAAAGAAGAACCATCAAACAGCTAACCAGGCAAAAAGACTGCTAGATGATCTTAGCCCATCTGGATCCACTGGCACAGTAACACTGGCAGGATGGGCACACAAACACAGAAGCCATGGCAAGAGAGGTGGGGGCTGCATATGGGTTTAAGAAACTATACTCCCACTGGGGTCAGGTGGAACTAATACTTGTTTGCCAGGATGACACAAATAAGGGCAGACCAATCCTGTGTCTCTGACCATAGTTTTCTCAATACTCAGTGTGGGAATACCAGTCCTGAGACACAACAAATACAATCAGATTCAGGATAATACTTGATGAAGCTACTTCCATAAATCATACAGAGCCTTGGATCCTAAACATGTTAGATAAAAGCAAAATCCTTTAAATGGCTCTTTTATCACTCATTCTTTCTTTCTTCCTCCCTTAACCAAATTTTAGGACATAAGCTCAGTGTTCTAGTGCCATGGCCCCCCTTTATGGTAGCAGGAAACATATTCTAAGACATTCACCTTGAGATGAGCATCAGGTGACAGCCTAAGCTAACCTGGGCACCTGGTAGAGTCTGTGTACTCAAATCTTAACGTAACTCAATGGTTTTCTTTTGTTGTTGTTCCAAATACAAACAACGACAACAACACAACTCTTCCTAGTCTTAGTCCTTCTTCTTTCTAACTCCAAGGTTCTCATCTGTTGGCAAACTCAAGTACTTTTTTTCTTTTTCTGATGTTAATTATCAGGGAGAGGTAAGAAGCTCAGGTCCCGAGGGAGATTAATGAGGGCTTAGGGCGACTTTTCTTCCATCTCCAGGCGGCAGTTCCTCTGAGCCTGCCTGGGTGACACTGGGTGGCACCCATGCTCCATACCCAGCCTTTGTGCTGGTGCTGATCACAGAGGAAATTAAGTCATCCCCAAACTACCAGATTGACAAAGGCCCATCTCTTGCCAGTCTCTCCTCTCCTGCCTGCACCACCACACACCACACACCACCTGCTCCCTGTAATTATAGGTGCTCCCTGTCATTTGTGCTGATGCACTGGGGAAAAAAGAAAGCTAAAAGGTGACTCACTGACTTGGCATGACTAGCCAGGGTGCAGCCATTTCCCTCTCCTCCCTAGCCAGGTGTGCTGTGCTAGGAAGGGGAGTGAGGCACACACTCCCTTCCCCTGGCCACACCTTAAAGCTGTGAACCCTGGAGGCTCTATCAACAGATGCCTGGAGAGGGGCTCGGTGGCAGCCTGTTACAGCTGTGCATGAGGCTTCCATCGTAACCTTCCTAGGTCCTAAAGCAACCTGCTCTAGTCTACAGCTTCTCATAATTCTCTTCAGGGGTCTTGCTGGATTGCTTCTCTCTTATCTGTTTCTTCCCTCTCTGTGCCTTTCCTAATTTTGGTATTTTTTATGATTTTAATGTAATTT